GTATGCCTTTGCAATTCTTACTGAAAGCTACACATTTGAAATGTTGCTCTAGCAATCAGATTCTCGCCCTTCCCCAGGATATGCTGTATACCCGCCTTCTTTAAAAATTATTTTAAGGGTGTCTCTGTGCCAGAGATCAGCATCAGCCTGAAGTGAAAGCCAAGTTCTTTTTTTTTTTTTTTTTTTAATCAAGGACTAACTGGCAGAGTATGATGCAACAGCCACAGTAAGCACAGCAGTAGGACACAGTGGTGCCCCAGAAGGGGCACTTGGAGTAATACTAGTTGTGGGTCACATCTAGGGTACGGGATCATGACTGGCTGACCTGGCATGGACATAGTTTAACTTCTTGAGAACAAGCTCCAATGTCTTTCCAATTATATTAAGCTCTGATTCAAACTTGGATACACTGTCACTCAAAACTTGGCTATCTTTCTTAGTAGCAAAATACTCAAACTCTCTTTGCTTTTTGAAGACCTGTCCAACAAATGCGAACAACACATTAACTGATGACTCCAGTGACCCAAGTAGTCAGGATAGGATCCTCCGCTGTTCCATGCTCAACAAGCTCCCCAGTCAACCACTCCTTCATCCCTGTTGGAATATCTGGATCCATCAGCTTCTCCATATCCTTGCTTATCAAGACAGCCACCAGTTGACAGACGGTCTTGTTTAGTGTTCTGGAGGGAATCCCCTGAACCCTTTGTAGCCAAGACTGTCTTTGTAGAGGGCTGGAGACAGTACCCTTCACTCCGCTCTTTGCCTTTGCCTTCGAGCTCTGAGCCCGCAGGCTCTAATGGGGTGGCCTCTCTGCCCTGCAAGTCTCCCAACCTCCTGGGAGCTCAGTTCCTCTAGCTCTGACATGAAGATGGCAGATCAGCTCAACTAAACACAGGAGACTGATCTTGTCCATGTAAACCTATGTTTTTATATAGACAGGTTCCAAAAGCCAAGTTCTTCTTAGGTTTACCTCAGCCTGCATCTTTCCTTGGCTTTGAATTTCCCCCATTAAGTGGTTGCTTTTGAGTGTCCTAATCCTGGCTCCCAAATGAAATAAAAAAGAAAAAATATCCAAACGAGCAAAACAGGTTATGTTCCTTTAAATCTCCTGGAAGCTAGTATACTGAATAACAGCCAGGCTCTGTGTCTGCCCCTCAGAACTGAAAAGCAAAAATCAGCAATCATAACACAGAACCCCAGTATTTAGAGAACAAGGCTGTTATTTCCCATCCTGGCTCCAGCAAGCTCACTTGAATGTAAACATGGCTGCCTGCCATAGGTTGGAGGAGTAGGAGATGGGTAGGTGCTATCACACTGAAGGCTGACACTGACTGAAATTAATCTAATTTACCAACCAGCTTTCCCCTGGAATATGGAAGTTTCCAAATAGACTCCCGAGTTCCAAAATAGTTAGTTCAGTTCCTGCCAGGACAGTTGTTGTCTAGGTTGAGAGATGAGTTCCTTGTGCTTCCTACACCATCTGAGGAACAGAAAAAAAAGAAAGAAACATGAACAGAGGCATAGGGATCTGTGGGAGCCCCAGGAGAAGAAGGGAGAAAGGGGAGGAAGAATAATTATCAAACTGCAGAAAGCTAAAGAAAAGAATCTTGAAAGCAGCAAGAGTGAACTGATTAATCATATACAAGGGATCTTCCATAAGATAATCAATGTCTCATCCTAAACCTTGGAGGTAAGAAAGCAGTAGGTTGATAACATTCAAAATGCTGAAAGAAAAAACTGTTGACAAAGAATTCTGTATCCAGCAAAACTGTACTTCAAAAATGAGGGAGAAATTAACAAATTCCCTAATTTTAAAAAAAGCCAAGGAGATTTCTTACCATTAGTTATCAATGAACCTGCCCTTCAAGAATGCTAAGGGGAATCCTCAGGTTGATGTGAAAAGATGCTTGCAAGCAACTAGAAGCCATATGAAGAAATAAAGCTCTTCTTTCAAGATTAATACATGGGCAATCATAAAAGCAAGTATTACTGTAATTATAGTTTGTAAGTCCATTTTTTATTTTCTCCATTACTTAAAAGACAAGTGCATAAAAATATTAATCTGTATTAATGGACTCACAATGTTTAAAGATGTATCCTCTAACATCAATAACAGGAAGAGGGGACTGAGCTATATAGGAGTTTTTTGTATTGTATTAAAGTTAGTATCAATTCCATTAGATTGTTATAACTTTTGGCTGTTAAAAGTAATTCTCATGGCAACCACAAAGAAAATATCTATGGAAAATCACAGAAGAGAATGACAGGTGAGTCAAAATATTTCACTAAAAAAAAAAAAAAAAAAAAATCAAACAGAAAAAGGCAGTAATAAAGAAAATGGAGGCAACAAGCTATAAGGCCTATAGAAAACAAATAGCAAAATAGTAAAAATAAGTTCTTCCTTATCAGTAATTACTTTAAATGTAAATTGCTAAAATTCTCCAGTCAAAAGATAGAGATGGACAGAATAGATTTTAAAAAAAGAACAACAACAACAAACACCATGATCCAACTATATGCAGTTTAGAAGAGACTCACTTTAGATCCAAAGATATTAATAGCTGAAAAGTGTGAGGATTAAAAAGAACATATTCCGTGCAAATAGTAACCGAAAGAGAGTTATACTAAGAATGCAAAACAGATACACTAAGTTATACTAAGTATATCTTTCGTTACACTAATATAATACAAAGCAAATTTTAAATTTTTTTAAAAAGATCACAACAGACAAAGAAGGACATTACATATTAACAAAAGGTTCAATTAAGCAAGGTGATATAAAAATTGTGACTAGCTGTTACACACCTAGTAACAGACCATCAAAATATATAAAGAAAAAGTGGACAGATTTAAGGGAGGAATAAAGAGGTCTACAATAGTTGAAACTTCGATACCCCACTTTCAGTAATGAATAGGACAACCTGTAGAAGATGAATAAGGAAATAGAGGACTTTAACATTACAATAAACCAAGTACATAAACCTAGCCAAAATATAAAGAACAATCTACCCAAAAACAGAATACATATTTTTTTCCCAGTTCACTTTGTACATTCTCCCCACCACCAACAGCATATTGTAAACATTATTCGTACAACCAAGATTTATCCCAGGAATGCAAGGGATGTTCAACATAAAATCAATCCATGTAATATATCATATTTTTTAAAAAATGAGGGGAAAAACACATGATTACCTCAATTGACACAGAAAAGGCACAACAATTTACAATCCCTTTTCATAATAAGATCTCTTGGCAAACTAGTTAATAGGGGAGAAAATTCCTCAACATGATAAAAGTATTTGTGAGAAACCCACATCCAACAATACTCAATAGTTTAGCTTCCCCTTTAAGGTCATGAACTTTTTCTGCTGCTATTCAACATTATACAGGAAATTCTGACCAGAGCTATAGGTAGGAAGGGAGGGGAGGTGGGAGAAAAATTATAGGCATCTAAATTGGAAAGGAAGAGGTGAAATTACCTCTATTCACAGACAACATAATCGTAAATAGAGACAATCCCAAAAAATCCACAAGAAAGTTACTAGAGCTAAGAAAGAAGATCAGCAAAGTTGCAAGGTATAAGATCAACATACAAAAACCAATTGTTTCTATACACTAACAAGCAAGAGTTTAAAAAAAAGGAAGAAAGCAATTCCACTTACAATGATATCAAAATGAATTAAATACCATGAAGACTAATAAACACTGCTGAAAGAAATTAATGAAGAGCTAAGTACAGGGAAAGTAATTCTGTATTCACATACAGGAAGACTTAACATTAAGCTGTTTATACTACCAAAAGTGATCTAAAGATTCAACACAATATCAAAATTACAACAGCCTTTTTTCTTTTTTCATAAATGTAAAAGCTGACCCTCAAGTTATATGCAATTTCAAGGGTCCAGAATAGCCAGAACAATCTCTAAAAAGAATAAAATTGGAGTACTGATATTTCAAAACTTACTACAAAGCTACAGCAATTAAAACATTACGTTACTAGCATAAAGACAGAAACAGAGGTCAGTGTGATAGAATAGAGAGCCCAGAAATAAACACTCAAGTGTATATAGTCAGTTAATTTTCAACTAAGGTGCCAAGACCATTCAATGGGAAAGGACGGTCTTTTCAACCAATAGTGATGGAAAAACGCTATCCACATGTAAAAGAATGAAGTTAGTGCAGAGATAACGATTACTCAACACTGTGAATGTACTTAATTCCACGGAACTTTACATTGACAAATTATTAAAAATGATAAATACTTTGTGTATTCTACCACAATACATTCCCCCACCCCCAAGTAGGAAGAACCCAGTGAGCAACTGGATTGGCAAGTAGAAAGAAAAGGAATCTAGAATGATAATTAAGTTTTTGGGTCCGCAGGGTTGCTTCGTGGATGATGCCGTTCACCTATGCAGGGACTACAGGAGACAAGAAGCAGGTCCGAAGATGAACCTGAGATAATTAAGAAGTACATAAACATGAGGACAATCAGTTGAAGATGTATGCATGTCTTCTAGGCAGTTGGCCCTGGAGAGCCGTCTGGGCCGGCGAGCGAAATACGTGAAGGGTCAGCACGCTCTAAGAAACGGAAACCACTGAATGCCAGATCCCCAGGAAACACCAACACCAAAAGCAAGTAAACCCGCTTTCAGGGCTTCAACGAGGTGAGCCCATATCCCTAGTAGGAACTTACCAAAGCTTCATTGCGGAGGCGCCCTTCAGGCCAAGGCCCAGCTCGAGAGGATATATTGAGAAGCCTGAACCCCAAACGTTAAGAAATCTTCGCACCCGGAGTCCCAGGGACTCTGTCCGCACTCCTCCCGCAGAGCGGAAAGTCTCTCTCGCGGCCCCGGCGCCCTTCGAGCATTCCGATTGGTGGAGAGGTCCATGGGACCAGGAAGTTGTACCTGTCCGGTGAGGGTTGCCCTTCCGGTTCCGTTGGGTCCCCCTTTGGCTCGGATTCCCTGCCCCTCCCCCTTTCCGGAGCCCCGAGGGGCCGGAGCTCCTGGCGGTGCCGAACCCTGACTGCGGCCTTCCCCTGGGTCTGTAAGTGTGGCGGCGGCCGGAGAACCGGGCAGGGGTACGGGGTCTCTCAGGATGGAGCCCCCTTGGGGCCCTGGATTGGCCAGGACCTGCACTGGGACCAGGGCCGAGGGGCTGGCCTAGGCCCGGGGGGACTTAAGGAGCCGTTGGCCCAGCCCACGCTGCGCCCCGCCCCTTTCCCTTCCCTCTTCTGGAGTGGGGAGCTTTTGGATGCTTCTGGGACCTCCCCCTGGGACCCCAGCCGAGGGCCCGCAGTTGGTTTGGACGCCCGACTTTGGCATCTCGCAAAAAGTGCCAGAGCTGAGGCCCCAGCAAGGCCTTAGTGCCAGCCCCCGGGAATCGCTATGAGGTTACCTTTTTGCTGGGGTTTCCTGCTAATCGGTTACTGGCTATAGCACCTTTTATATTACTGGCGCTGTGCCAGGCACGGGGGATTATATCGGTTCAATTATTAGGGTCAAGTATGGGAGCCAGATATAAACAAATAAGTGCTCTTACAATATATTGTGTATGAGTTATATATGTATGAACTGCTCGAGGGGCAGTTGCTGGGAAGGCTGAAGAAAGAAAGTGACTTCTGAATTACACTTCTTGAGGAAGATGAGGTGGAGAGGGGCTTTTCAGGCCAAAGAAGCAGTTGCGGAGCTGTGAAAGAATGACTGAGCATATGTTGTGTGGAAAAAGGAGGAAGAGGGGATGGTGTCTTGTGCATAGAGGAGATATGGGACTGGGAAAGTATACCAGGGTCCAGACGGTGAAAGGTTCAATTTTAAAGGAGATGGATAGTTTCTGGAGTTTTAAAGAGGAGAACGATTTGGTCAAATATTCCATATTTGTAGAAAGCCATGCTATTCTGGATGCCAACCTATAGAATAGGAATTTCTATAAACTGATTTTGGACTCTTTAGCTAACGTCTACATATTCTTAATAGAGGTTTCTTCCTTTTTTAAAAAAATATCCTCACCAGAGGATATGTTTATTGATTTGAGAGAGAGAGAAGAACATCGATCACCTGCCTGCCATACACAACCCAACCGAGGTTGGAGCCCAAAACCTAGGCATGTGCCCTGACTAGGGATGGAACCTGCTGGTGTACAGGATAATGCTCCAACCAATCGAACCACCCGGCCAGAGCTTATTGGAGAATTTTTTGAAGGAATTATGAGACCAGCCTAGTGAGTGGTAATGAAGTCCTGGAATCAAGTTATTAAAGTATTACTGGAAAGAAGGCACGAGTGTTGTAGTGAATGGTGTGAAGACTTCATAATAAATTGGCTGTTGAGGGCGACAGAGGTCCCAAACCTGATTTATAGGTTTTAGGCTTTTGGCATTTGAAGACCATTGATGCCATTGATAGCAATATTGAGCCATAAGCACACTGTAGATAACAAATGTATTTTTTTTAATTAAAGGTCAAATGGAACTGTCCAGTGTAGAGTTGGAAGTGCATATCTGCAGCTGAGCCTAAATGTTGTGGCTAGAGGTAAAGGTTTGGGTCCTCAGCATAGAGGTGGAACCCATGGGAATAGTTAGCATCAAGAAGATATTACTGAGATAGAATGGAATAATTTGGGGGGATGGTTGCATTTATGAAACAGAAAGGAATGGAAGCTGGTAGCAGTTGGTGTAATAGCAGAAACAGAGATAGGAAATAAAATATTATAATGCAGAGTTCCTACAACCAAAAAGACCCAGAAATCAAGAGAAGAGAATTTTGAGAAGGAGCCACTAGGACAATTAATTAATGTACTGTATTGAGGGGATGAGAAAAAATAAAAAGACTGCATTTTTTTATTAAGAGATCATTAGTGACCTTTTAAAAAGCAATTTTGCATAGTGATGAGGTGATGATACATGAAATAATGGAGACCTCAACTGGTTTGGTGTTAATGAGAATGATAAAATGCAAAAAGAGAGAAGAGGAGAGAAAGAGCCACATATGAAGGATTTCATGGAGGAAATTGACAAGTTTTGTTTATTTATGGGAGAAATGCTTATGGGAGCACATTCCAGGTATTGTTCTAAGCTCTTTTTCAAATGAACTTAATTTTAAATTTAATTTATTTTAAAATTAATTTAATTTTCCATAACAACCCTATGAAGTAATATTACTATTTTACAGATGGGAAAACTGAAGCACAGAATTTTTTAAATAACTTGCCCAAGGTCACACAGCTAGTAAGTGGTTGAGCAGGGTTTTGATCCAAGGAAGCATGTCTCCAGAATCCATGGTTTTATACTACTGCAGTAAGCAGTGACTCCATATGGGAGTCAAAGGAATGGGAAAATTTTCAGCAAAGATAGGCTCATTGGTTTAAAAAAAAGAAAGAAAGGCTTGTAAGGAGATCTAGATTGAGAAGATAAGTAATGGATTTATGTTTGTTAGTATTTGCTTTCTGTTTCTTTCCTTCTGTCTTTGATCCTCTTCTAATTTGTGCCATTTTAGGTCAGTTTCTTTCACAATTAAGTCAATTTATGTCATGCTTCCATCTGTGACTTACTATTTATCATCAAGTCTCCTCTTCAACTTCAGACCCATATCCAGCCAACTAATGGGTCTTCCCCTTGATGTCATTCCAGGTCCTCTGACTAAAGGATTTAAGACCAAACCCATGATTGTCCCCTCCAATATTCTCTAGCTTATTGAATGGAACTCTCAAAGACACCAAGCGACTCTATGCAAATATCTTGAAGTCATTTTGACCTTTTTTCCTTGTTCTTCTTCTACATCACCAAGTCCATCAGTTCATTGAAATAACTCTCAATTCTGTTTCCTCTCTCCATCCATATTATTAGTCTCTATTAAAGCCTTCATCATTTCTATCTTTATCTGTTAGACTAATAGCGTACTAACAGGCTTCCTTGCCTCTACATCCATTTTTTAAAAAGATTTTATTTATTTTATTTATTAGAGGGGAAGGGAGAAACAGGGAGAGAAACATTAATGTGTGGTTGTCTCTTGAGGGCCCCCTACTGGGGACCGGGCCCACAACCGAGGCATATGCCCTGACTGGGAATCGAACCGGTGACCCTTTGGTTCATAGGCCAGCACTCAATCCACTGAGCCACACCAGCTAGGGCTATATCCACTTTTCTTAGAGCCATTCTCCATACATTTTAATTTTTGACTAATTGAGTTTTAGTGCAATAGTTTAGACATCATGCATTTCAAGTGACAGAATAAGTAGCCTAGGTCTGGTATTTTGGGTAGTTTCAACTGAGGTTAAGTTTGGTTAAGGTTGGCCATGAGGATGGAGATTTAGGAACTTTTAGAATAGAGTCGTAATAAAACGTTGAGAAACCAGACAGGCTTTCTGAGGAAGTAAGCCTCGAAAAAAAAACATGGAAAAAATCAAGGGCTAAGCTATGAAGGATATACTTACTGTTACACAAATTGTGAACCCTTGAAGAACAGACCAGCAAGCAAATGTTGGAAAACTAAGTCCAGTATTTAAATAAGTTGGCCACTTTTGTATAACAGTTTAAAAAAATTATTAACTAGATCTATAATTATTTTATATATACAGCTCTCAAAAACAATAAATGAGAAAAGAAAGTTGCAAAAAAAATGTATAGTTTATGTGTAAGAAACATGATTTTACTTTATATTATCTGTGGGTAGGCATATAGAAGTTTTTAAAATAGAGGGAAGGCCCTAGCCCAATTAGAGTGTCATCTGGATACACCAAGTTTTTGAGTTCTAGCCCCCATCAGGGCACATACAAGAATCGACCAAAGAATGCATAAATAAGTGGAAAGACAAATTGATGTTTTTCTTTCTCTATCTCCCCCCTTCTCTTCTCTTTCTAAAATCAGTAAATTTAAAAAAAAAATTACTGGGGGAGGTAGGAGGTAGGGTCATCAAGGGCCAAACTTACAACAGACTGAGTACTAAGTGAAAGTTAGTTGGGAAAGAGGACTTTTACTTTATCTATAATATTCAAAATATTTCCAGAAATGATATATTTCTGTATATAATGTAGAATAATAAGTAGAAAAAAAAAGAGAGTGAAAACTTGGAGAATGTAGTGCTATAAAAGTTACCCAAAAGAGAAAGAGAATTGAGGTTTATGGAGAGACAGACTAGTATATTACAGCATCTTTTTAAAATGGCAAATGGTGTTAGTGAGAGATAAAGATTCCCAAGTAGTTGTGAGTAGTAAGTTATGAGGTAAATGAGGAAACAGACTGACATATAGCTTGGGAGATTATTGTACAGAATAGAAAAGTCTTCCTTATCAGTAGTTATTAGAGGTATTTGAGATAAGAAACGGGGGTATTTCCTCACTGCCCATAGGATACCAGTGAACATTGTCCAACCAACCTAGAATAGTCACTGATCCTTTTTGGTTATGCATGTTTGAACAAAAGGACATTTTCAACTCAGTTGACACATTTGTGATGGAAATAGTTATGGAAGAATTGTGTAAGTATAAACAAAGAGAAAGTAAGTGATCTTAAGTGAGAATTACATTGATGTTTGAAAAATAGGTCATTCAGAACTTGCCAATAGAAACTGGGCAAAATTCATATTTAATCACAGTATCCTAGGCAATAAGTGATTAGGACCAAAACCACGGCAATGATAATAAGGAAAGAGAGAGAGACAGAGAGAGAGAGAAAATTTGGAAATCATCCTGAGAAAAGAATCAACAGGATGTGGTGACCAAGTTGCTATTCTTTCTGATCATTTCTTTAATTTACTAGAAGCTCTGCTATAATCTAGAATTATGTGAGTGGTTTTAATGAAAATTATGAGTAATTACTATTATACTTAGATGGTAATTACACTGGGGATTCTCTAAATCAGATATACTTGTAATTTTTATTCTCTCTTTTTTTTTGCAAATGGCATTAAGTTTCAGTATCAAAAGATAAATCCACAAAAGATGGAAAAATAACAGTTAAAATAAGTGAGAAACCAAGGTAAAACAAAGGGAATAAAATGCAATCAGGAATATGACTAATACGTAAATAACTTACTATTAAAATCCTCTAGACTTGACACAGATTTACGTTGTATTTTTTCTTTTTAAACATAAACTTTTTATTGAACTAAATACAGAAAAGCATACAAATCAAATGTGTACAGCTGAATGGATATGAGAAGGGAAATCTGAACCGTTCAACAGTTAACATTATCCTTACGACAGAACTTCAGCTAGCCTAGCTGTTTGACACACGATTTTGGCATCATGAGGCTTGGGCACAAGTTCCAGCTTAACATGAACACTATCTCTCAAGCTGAGAAAAGGATTCATGTTCTCCAAACTTGAGTTTCCTTACATGCAAAGTGGGGGCGATAATAATACCTACCTGACAGGGATTTTGAGGATTAAGTGGGTCTATTTAGGTAAAGCATTTAGCACTATACCTGGTACATAGCAAGCCTTCAGTAAAAATTAGCTATAATTCCTCTAATTTTTAAATAAAATTAAACCAGTTCATAAAAAAGACAATTATTTTATTTTGTCATTTTTTAAAAGTTAAAACAAGGAAAAAGTTTGTTTAAAATTTGGTTTTGCCCTGGCTGGTGTGGCTCAGTGGACTGAGCACCACGCTTATGAACTTAAAGGTCGCCGGTTCGATTCCCAGTCAGGGCACATGCCTGGGTTGTGGGCCAGGTCCCTGGTTTGGAGCGTGTGAGAGGCAACCAACTGATGTTTCTTTCACACATTGATTTTTCTCTCCCTCTCTTTCTCCCTCCCTTCCCCTCTCTGAAAATAAATAAATAAGACCTTTATTTTAAAAAAGATTTTTAAACAGTTGTAATACAAATAATCCAAAAATTAATAAATAATAATATAAGAATAAACTGTTTCCTATACTCACAACTATAAAGCTACTGTAAAAAAAAAAAAATTGGTTTTATGTTGTCAAAACTAACCCTGAAAAGAAATTTTCCCCAGGGCACTCATGAGATGATATCCTGATAATGAAGAGCATTTCTACCATAGCTCACAATAATTTCACAGGAGACATTCAGAGTTCATTATTCTGCTGGGTTTTGTTGAATGATCTGTATAAAAAGTAACAGTTGGTCCTTGCCCTCAGATAATTAACAGTCTATTGGAAAGGGAAACTAGTGGCAGGAAACAATTGAGGGATAAACTGTGTGGCCTGGAAATGAGTTTATCAAGGGGAAACAATAGAGTGTGCTGACACATATTAGGGAAAACTTCTTAAACAGAATAAATTTTCCTCGTATTCTTGGACTATAGCAGACCAATCAATGTAAGCACTTTCCTGGGATACCAGTTTGGCTGCTCCTGTTGGTTTCTTGAGGCTAATGGGTAGGAGGAAGTAAAGGAAACTTCCAGCTCCTCATCTTTGGAGCTTTTAGGAACAATTATCCCTTAGGATAGTTGCCTAAATAAAGCACTGTGGCCCTGGCTTTGGAGCATCATCCTGTGTCCAAAGGGTTGTGGGTTCAATTCCAAGTTAGGACACATGCCTGGGTTGCAGTTCCATCCCAGACTGGGTGCATGCAAGAGGCAACCAACCAATCGATGCTTCCCTCTTGCATCGATGTTTCTCTCTTTCCCTTCTCTCCCCCTCTGTCTCTCTAAAAACAGTGAAAACATGCCCTCTGGTAAGAATAAAAAATAAAATAAAACATGGTCAGTACTGTCACACTCTAGATGGAAGCCATTAATGCTCATTGTGAGTGTGGCGGGGGGGGGGGGGGGGGCTGGAAACTAACCTGAGGCTGTGTTAAGAACAAGCTAAACTCTAAAAAAAAAAAAAAAAAAAAAAAAATGCCCTTTTTGTTTGCTTACTTGAAACAGTAGCTATTTTTATAATTCTGTTTTAAATTGGAACATTCACCCTTTTCAGAGTGAATATACTAAGATGCTGTAATTGCTAAAACTGACCAGTGGTAGTATAGTTTTGCTGCTTTCTTTACTGATATATTCCTTGTCTCTCACTGATTTTTTCCTTTTTTCCCTGATATTCACCATCTTTTCTCTGATGCAACATTTGCTTCTCTACATCCCTTCTCTCTCATATTTATAGTGATTTTCATTATCTGTACATTCAGAATGCCATAAAAGGGAAAAGCTTTTAATTTGTGCTGTATATTTTTGTTGACATACCTGTGCCATACCAGTTCTCCCTACTAAATTTTACCTTTCTTTCAATGATGGTTTTATTCAGCTGAACTCCTAAGTTCAGAACCTACATATTCCTTTTTCTCATTTTCTGTACCCGGTGTGTTACCAAGTGCTATGAAATATATTTTGTTATTTTTCCCTGCCCTGTGTTCCCATTTTCATTCCTTTTTCTAAGCTCTCACGGTCTCAGACCTTTAATGCTTCTGCAGACACTGAGCTGGTCCTGCTAACAGCAATTTCTCCTTCTAATCACTGCCATACAAATCCTGTAAGTTCAACAAACACAAACTGAGCACTGCCATTTGTTTAGTACAATATTAGGTGGCAGGAGTACATGCTGGTTTCAACAGGAGAGGGTTTGGCCGGTTATGTGGCTGCAGTAAGTAGAATTTGAAGCAAAAGCAAAAAGTGTTTTGCTTTAGAAGATGCACATTCCCAGCATTAGCCCATTGATTAGGATGGAGATATTTCCCTCTAATGCCATGAAGCTTGCTGTTTGGAGGGCAAGAAACAAGCATTTAATAAAGGATTTTGAGTGTTATGGTAGAAGTACTATGCTATGGGTCCAGTAGAGACAACTGTTAGTGTAAGGGGTCAGGGAAGGGCCTCTCAGAGGAAATAAAGGACTCAGAATTGGCCTGGAGGAGTGTTCTAGACTAAAGAAATAATTGTGCTAACCCTTGGAGTCAGTAGAGTGCTATTGTGCGCAAGGCACTGAGCAATATAAGGCCTGGACTCTGCCTTCAGGAGCTTGTGTTCTGTGAACCTTTGTGTCAGTGTTACAATAGATAAGATTACAAAGATTGAGCTTTAGAGTTCAGATGTGGCCAGGACCAGCTAGCTGTTTCATATGATTCGCAGCTACAGAGTTAATGAATGCTCAAAATTCAAGGTGAATTTATTGATGCACTGATATTGTAGAGCTATTTCTCAAGGGTAGACCTTATATACCTACTGATCTCAAAGAAGACTGGCATACAGACATGTGCCAATTTATTAATTTTACAATGGCTGGTAGACTGGAATTATGGTGGCATAGCTAGTTCAGCCTTTCCTTTAGAGATGCACATGGGAAGTCAAATTATCAGAAAATTATTTGAAAAGTATGGAATTGGAATATGGGGACCTTCTCCAAAGGAATTGATCTATAAAGGGGCAAATATGCAGAAAGTTTTGGCAAAGACACCTTCTCCATAGTTGAATGGGTTATGCCAATGTTTATGTTAATTATACTCAAGAGATTAGTCTTATTCCAGGAAACAATGGGAAATCCCAGAAGGATATGAGGCAGGGGTTGGATATAATCAGATCTGTGTTTTTAAAAGATGTCAGGTGGTGGTGTAGGAGTTGGATTAGAGGGAATAGAACCTGGAAGCCAGGGAACATTTATGAATCAGTTCTAGTTATCCAGTTGATGAGTAATGATAGATACACAGGGGCAAAGAATAAAGAACAGAATCTAGTAAGGATTAATTAGATCATTACTCCTACTCAGACCAAGTGGCTCAACTTTCTTCTATATCAAATAATTTATTTGCTTTCTATATTAAGAAGTGTTTCTTGAGAGAGAATTAGACTTGTCTAAAATACACAGGATAAACATCCCTTTAGGTCTAATAACTTTCATTTTATCACTTGTAGGAATAAATACACATCAGTTTAAACAAGAAGGTTTATCTGGGAATGGGGCAAAGCAATGTCACGGCAGTTCTTTACAACACAAAGAAAAGGAACAGTGTTTAGTCCTCAAAGAATCAGGTTCACAGTGTCATGCAAAAGAAAATAGTTACTTCACTATTACTTGTGGGGATGTTTTAGTTCATTTTTGAAACCTGAAAGAATTCTTATTTGAGAAGGAAAAAAAAAGCTCTTGGAGTAACTCAAGCCCTATTCTTGTATTAAGTTTCTTAAAAAGTTGAATAAATGCCAAGCTATTTATACTGATACAAGTCCATTCCTTAGGTGCTTTTGACACTTGATGTTAGCAAGGAGTAATTTTTAACAGCTTTTGAAAGCTGTTACACTGTTTCCTCTTTCAAGGCCAATTTCACTTGGTTACATACAAATAGATATGACAACACAAATTTGCTTTTGGAAGAAAAATCCAGGTTTCTTCATTGTTTGAATTTTCTTAAATTCATCCTTTTTACATTTCTGTTCTTCAGGTCTGCCAAAATGTCTGAAAGATCAGATCTCCTTCACTTCAAGTTTGAAAATTATGGAGATTCAATGTTACAAAAAATGAACAAATTAAGAGAAGAGAATAAATTTTGTGATGTTACAGTTCTCATAGATGATATTGAGGTACAGGGACATAAAATTGTGTTTGCTGCAGGTTCCCCCTTCTTAAGAGACCAGTTTTTACTGAATGATTCCAGAGAGGTGAAAATCTCCATATTACAGAGTTCTGAAGTGGGGAGACAATTGCTCTTATCCTGTTATAGTGGTGTGCTGGAATTCCCTGAAATGGAACTGGTAAATTACTTGACTGCTGCGAGTTTTCTTCAGATGAGCCACATTGTAGAACGGTGCACACAGGCCTTGTGGAAGTTTATAAAGCCAAAACAACCAATGGATAGTAAAGAGGGATGTGAACCGCAGAGTGCTTCTCCCCAGTCAAAAGAACAGCAGGGAGATGCCAGAGGCTCCCCAAAGCAGGACTCACCTTGTATTCATCCATCTGAAGACAGTATGGATATGGAGGACAGTGATATTCAGATTGTTAAGGTAGAATCTATTGGGGATGTATCAGAGGTTAGAAGTAAAAAAGATCAGAACCAGTTTATTTCTTCTGAACCCACTGCTTTACATTCATCAGAGCCCCAGCACTCCCTGATAAATTCAACTGTGGAAAACAGAGTAAGTGAAATAGAACAAAACCATCTCCACAATTATGCCCTCTCTTACACAGGCAGTGATAACATCGTCATGGCCTCAAAAGATGTCTTTGGGCCTAATATTCGAGGTGTAGACAAAGGCCTACAGTGGCATCATCAATGCCCAAAGTGTACCAGGGTGTTCCGTCACCTGGAGAACTACGCCAACCATTTAAAAATGCACAAACTCTTTATGTGTCTACTCTGCGGCAAGACTTTTACTCAAAAAGGCAATCTTCATCGACACATGCGTGTGCATGCCGGCATTAAACCTTTCCAGTGTAAGATCTGTGGGAAAACCTTTTCTCAGAAGTGTTCCTTACAGGATCATCTTAACCTTCACAGTGGAGATAAGCCCCATAAGTGTAACTATTGTGACATGGTTTTTGCACATAAGCCAGTTTTGAGGAAACACCTTAAACAACTGCATGGCAAAAACAGCTTTGATAATGCCAATGAAAGAAATGTGCAAGACCTCACAGTGGATTTTGATTCTTTTGCATGTACAACAGTCACAGACTCTAAAGGGTGTCAGCCACAGCCTGATGCAACACAGGTCCTGGATGCAGGTAAACTGGCCCAAGCTGTCCTGAACTTAAGGAATGATAGTACCTGTGTGAATTGAACAAATTAGGGGCTTTATGCTCAAAACTAGAACTGACCGAAATCGTGGCAATAGTCTGAGTCTTTTTAGGAGTGATTTTGCTAGTTTGACTTCTCCATAGCCTCTCTGCAGGTTGTAGGAGGGCATCAAAGTACTAACAGTCCAGGCAATTTATCACTTGAGTGGTCTTGCCTTCCTTTTGCCCTCTCCCATTTTCTGTTTTGAATTATCTTACGACTTCTGTTTTCCTTTCCCAAGGAATATTCCATTTGTCTACCTAATACTGACTTACGTTTTAGACTGACATTATTTTAGGCTTTTCACTGGGCACATTCTGAAGGAACCAACAAGTTAATAACATCACCTGCACTCCAGTAATCGATGCTATTCAGAGAAGTGAATAATGTTTTTCTTTGGCAGGAAATAGATGGAGATATAAAGTGATAATCCTATTGGCCTGAATATGTGATAGAACTGTGGCTGCCTATTGATAATTTACCTATGTCTGATGAATGGAAGAATCTACTTCCCATCATTTGTACTTTTCTTGGAGCTAGCTATAAAGAGATGTTTTTGGTTGTTCTGCATCCTTTTCAACAGTATTATGACCCAATTTCATGTCACTGAATTGTTCACATAGACCAGAGTGCAGTCTTTTCGGCAACACCTGCAGGCATAGTTACGTATCACCAGGTGGAGCATAGTCAACAAAGGATAGAAGTACAATTGTACAACAGTTTTACATGGGAAGTCTTCCTCAAAAGAAGCCAAATGCTTATAATTCATGTGTAATTTATTTTTTGTTGCTTTTTTTAAAAGTTAGCATGGCTCCAACATACCAAAATGTGCTAAAATGTAATGGTCTCTCTAGAAAGAATCTATTTTGGAATCAGTCTTTGGATTCTGTTTTGGAAGTTAATCATCAGAAAGATGTTTAGCCATCAGAAAGATGTTAGGCCTTCAGAGTTTTGTCTGGAGTACTCTAATAGTCTCTGAATTCTCATTTTCTCATGTACCTTAATATCAGAAATGGGTGAAAAAAGTGGGTCATGGAATGAGCAATCAGGCTTTTGCATTCAGATATCCCTACACAGTCCTACCTTGACATGTTTGAGAGATTGCTAATACGAAGTTGATCTTCCAGTATGGTAAAACAGGACAACTGTTTGTCCTAAAGCACATGTTATAGTTCAGAAATAAAATTTTGAGTCTTACTAGTTTCTGACCCATGAGTTAGATATAGTTAATAAGAGTGTTAGAGTCTTTAGAGAATCTTAAGAGATCATTTATTCCACCTCTTTTTTTTGTTTGTTTTTTAAGTTGGGGTATCCAAAGCCCAAAGAGGTAGCCTGGTCAAGGTTGGCCAAAGTAGATAAGTGACAAACTATGAGCTATTGTCTTCTTATTTTTTCTCACTCCTCTTGACTTAAAAAATTTAGTACATGATGAAGAATACATTAGGAAAAAGCTCACTGTTGTGAATCCCTATTGGCTTTCTGAGACAGCCTGGATTTTGCAAACAAAATATCACAGAAGGATTTATTTTTGTTAATTATTATTTAGTTAGAATGAATATTACATTCTTCCCAAGCAAGTGATTGATTTGCTGGGTATTGGTTAGGGAGGGAAAGGACAAGTTAGAATAAATGTGAGAAGGATCTAAATGTGAAACTGATTTTACCTGGTAACAGTGTGTGTTTAGTTTCCATCAGGATTTTCCATTTTTATTTTTGAGCTATGAGAGTGCATGTACAAATAAACCAAAAATTAGGTTTAACTTGAGTAGTCAGAGGGAATTCTTACAGTTGTTAATACTTTGATACATTTATATGTGAATCTGACTTGAGGTATAATTTCTACCTTTGTTAAAACATTTAAAATGAGAATAAAACTGAGCGATAAGATTAATAGTTATCTTATGCCTCAGGTCACTCATTATATGGTCTAATGATGCTGCCTAGCATGCTGGTTTGTATATGACCCAGCCAAAGAGTACCAATTCTATGCAACAGTGAGACACTGCCATGTTAACCACCATTTCACTATTTCCTTTGAACCTCATTTTATCACAGAAATTTCATGTTGGAATGCTTCCTTTGCTTATATTCATGCCCTGTTTTTGTTACTGGTTTGAAGACTAAAAGGCATGGGTTCAAATTAGATTGGTCTCTTTGGTTGGAGACTATTTCTGGGTTCAATTAGTCATTCAAGAAACACTGATTGAGCGCCTACTGTTGCCAGGCACTATGCTACATGCAGAGGATATGAAGGTAAGATTGCAATGGTCCCTGCTCTCACAGAGCTTACAGCCTCATGGGGTCTTAGAAAGCTAAAGTATCCATTTGATTTTATACTAGGAATAATAAAAGAAACTGCCTTGCTTTCTTTGATCACTTAAAATCAGCATCTTGGTGGTTTTGTATCAGTAAAAGCTATAGTTCTCATCTTTTGTAACTGCAAACCACTGAAGTGATTTACAGTCTCCTCCATTTCTTGGCTGGAGAGGTGTTCTGTTTCTGTGAGACATTTCCTTGATTTTGGTGGGGTTTGACTTTTGTCCTTGGTTTATACACGTTTCTTAGATTGTATTGCAAAGTGGTCAAGTTATTGATATCAAATAAGTTTTATAGAGGAAGATTTTTAAAAACCTTAGTTATTCAGCATTTGTATTCTATGGATCCCCAGGATAACTAAAAAGGGGAGAACACTCTTTTTACCAGTTTGTTTTTTTAAAAAAGTTACTGTATCACATTTATTTATTTATTTAATTTTAAAGACAAACTCCAAATCGAAGCGGCTCTGAGGTAAATCAGATGTGGTTTTAATTTTTTTTAGTTTCTTTTTTAGAAAATCTGTAAGTGGAGGGTGACCAGTGTCACTACTTTTAAATATTGTCCTAAACAAACAACCTAGAACATTTTATTTCAGCTGGTGAATAGCTGTTCTAAAACTGTTGTATGTTAGACATACTATGAACTACCTCTTCACTTATTATGGGGAAGTTTCCTTAATAAAAGTGTGACAATAAACACTCTGGTGTGAGTGATTTATTTTCTCTCCCCTCCTTTCCTTTTCAATCGCTTGAACTTAAATACAGTAATGCTTTCTTCATTCCTATTCTTTAAAACACATTAATCAAATATGCTGGGCCTGACTTCAGAAGCAACTATTGGGTTAACCAGACATTGTTACTAGGGTCAGTTACTTCCATGAGAACTCCAGGGTTGAGCAGCTACTTTTAAGACTTGGTTCAGCACTGGCAGGGTAGTTCAGTTGGTTGGAGCGTCGACCAGTGCACCAGGGACAGGGGTTCGGTCCCTAGTCAGGGCGCATGCGTGGGTTGCTGGTTCGCTCTCCCCCAGGCGGGCCATGTGAGAGGCAATTGATGGGGTGTTTCTCTTCCTGCCTCTCTAAAATCCAGGAGGAAAAAGAAAATTGGTTCAGACATTCCTTCATTTGGCAAATACCTGGGTGTCTACTAAGGAATGCAAAGATTAGTAAAGCACTGCCCTAAATACCTCTGCCTAGACAGGGTACAGATTTCAATAATAGGATGATAATTGTAATAATGAAGGCTGCCAAAGGGTTGACAGGCTCCCTACTGCCAGCCGGCTAATTCAGGCCAGTTCACGGTGGCTTTAAGGATGATGGGATTTTGAGGGATAACTGGGAGGGAGGTTCGGCCTCCTGCGAGAAACGGGAGGGCCAACAGTTCCGATGGAAGGCCTGGGTTTCCCCGGGAAGGGGGAAGAGGGGCGGGGCAGGTGAGAAGGAAGCGATAGACTAAAGAAAGAAAGATCCAGAGGTTGGGGCCAAATCCTAACGGGGCAGGCACTTAGGAAATCTGGGGTACTGATCCCTACGGCAGTCTTCTTTTTCTTTCTCCGCCACCTTTTAAATTGTAGATGTCCCAGCAAAGGCGAGGGCTCGGCCCATAATAATCCGTGAGGACCTCCCCAGTAGTCCAGGCGCGGGGTATTCTGATAGACGCCTCGTATTCCAACTTCACAGCCCGTCTGCGATTTGGATGTCGAGGAGAACTCAGGAAAGGGAATGGCTCGTGTACTCATACTGGGACACGTCAGATGGAATTTGCCGGGACTCGGGCACCTTTCGGTCTTTTCGGGAGGGTGGGATGAGGAGAGGGAGGAACGGAGAACATCTCAGGATGTTCTTCCGGGACGCCCAGCCCGCTCCAGAGGGAATAAAGCTAGTTGACACCGGATGTGTTTCCTCCCAGAATAAGTCCACCTTCCGGTCCGGGTCGCCCCTGCCGCGGAAACCTCGGCTCTCGTTTTCGGAGAGGGTGAGCGAGCGCGAGGGAGACTGGGACAGGTGGGGAAGCCGGAGGAGGAGGGCAGCCGGGCGCCGCCCGGGAGTGGCTAGACTGGTGCTGCAATCACCTGGCCGACAGGGCGTTGGTCATGGCAGGCTTGTCTCAGGAAAACCTGTGGCGGCGGATCTTCCAGGCCACTGGGGATCCCGATTCAGTTCATCAGATATTCTCTAAGCTGCTCCTGCTCTGTGCCGGTCCCCATTGCTCGCTGCAGGAACTCAGATAAACTAAGCACAATTTTGTGATGTTCTTGAAGGATCCGACTCTTGGGGCGGGAGCGGGGACGGGGGCGGTGGACAGAAGGAGGGGTCACAGAAGTCTAACTTGATTTGGGCCTTAAAGGAGCTAAATCACTAGCTAGAAAAAGCAACCGGAAGCACAAGTGTAGCATGTGCAAAGATGCATTTGGGTCTTCTCGTCTGGGTAATGGTGAAAATTTGAATATAGAAGGAGCTTCGATGAAAGAGAGGAATGATAAAGTTATAAAGGTGCTTAGGGCTCAATCATGAAGGATCTTGTGTTTGCTAAGAAGGTTAGACTGTCCTGAAGGTAGAGGAAAGCGGAAGAGAAAGGGGAAAAAAAGAAAAGTTTTAAAATGTCAATTCTGGCAGGACCTTAGAAGGGTAATTTGGAATATAGGAGACTGGTATCAAGGAGAACTGTTGGAAGACATGGCAGTGGCGCGGGTGAACAGAATAAATATCTGCAGTTGTGAACGGTATTGCAAGTTTAGAGATTACGTTAA